ATCCCCCAACCCTCATAACCATCACTGGAAGTTGAGTTCTTGCTTGAATTGATCGGAATTGACAAGGACTGGAGTGGCTTCAATCCCCCAAAGTACGTGCTTCAAACCGTGCAGCGAAGAAACACGGAACCCTTCTGCAGGAACAAAATATAACCAAAACTCGAAGCCCCACGGGTACTAGTACTAGTAGTCTCCATTTCTCATAATACAATCTCCCTGCAATATTATATTCCCGCGCAAGCTCCCCATAGTATGATATTCTCATATAATCTCCCTATATTCGCCTCAAATCTCCCTGTAATGTTATGTTACCATCTGATCTACCTATTTTCTTTCCTTTGCCACATAATCTCCCTGTACGATCATATTCTCGTATAATCTCCCTATTCAAACTTCATTTTGCCCTAAACCCTGAACCCTAAGCCCTAAACCTTAAACCCTACACCCTACGTAAACCCTAGGCCCCAAGACCTAAACCTTACACCCAGAACCCAAAACCCTGCGTAAACCCTACACCCTGAACCCTGCGTAAACCCTAAACCCTAAGCCTTACAGCCTAAACCCTAAACCCTATGTAAACCCTAAGCCCTAAACTTTAAACCCTGAAGCCTAAACCCTTAAACCCTAAACCCTAAGCCCTGGAAGATCCTGGGAGTGTTTCGATTTTCCTGTAGTCCGGATGCCCTGAACAATGTGGGGGTCTGCTGAGTCGACGAAAGGTGTTTTCTCTGTGGAATGCGTGAAGGATTAGCTGCTTTTTGCCAATGTTGCCGAGCGGTGTTGCCGGCCGGGCTGCAGAGGGCTGTGTCGCAAGATATCTTCACGGGACTTCGTGCCGTGGAGAAAAGGTCCGCAAAAAAATGCACACCCTAAACCCTAAACCCCTAAAAGCACTAAGCCCCGAAGCCTAAACCCCAAAACCTTAAGAACCCTGAGCCCATAAGCTGGTGCGAGGTTGGCCTGCTGGCAGGGTTCTTAGCCACCGCACTCTGTGTCCAGTGAGATGGGCCGTCGCAAGTTTTCCTGAGGGTTAGTTTGGAATAAGGGAAAATCTATAGGGTTGCTGGGGCTTCTAGGGAATGAAGGGTTTAGGGTTAGTAGGAATAAGGGACTAGAATATAATAGGGACAATATACGGAATTTCTTCCCTTGTTCCATACTAGCCACCAGTAAGAAGTGAAAGCTGGGCCAGACAAAAGATCTTGCACAAAAGCAAGTTGCTTCCTGGTTGCCAGTGGGGAATGGAAAAGAAAGTGGAACTATCAAATTCTATGTTTTCTTCAAAATTCAGGGTACCTTTTAGGGGTCCCCAGAATAAGGACAGTCATCTTTTGGATTTCTATATTGGTGCTTCCCTATTTAGGGAACCTCCCATATAGCTATCGGCTACTTCGAGGATCCATTCCTCCACTCTGAATACAACCAGTAAGTTGATTTACATCTGATAATGAATGGCGCTTGTTGCTGTCAGTACACAAACCCTAAACCTTATGTAACCCATTATTGTAGTTGCCATTCTATTTTCCATTATCCCAATATAACCGCTATAGGGATTCAATGCTCCATTCCCTACGGTTGGTGAGTACAGCGCTTCAGGCTGGCCAACCTTGTTGCATGCTCAAACCTTAGCTTCGATGCGAAATCCTCATTAGCCACTTCCCTGGCTTTGGGAAACTGATGCCATGAGCACCTTGATATTCTGATATGCTCTCCCTACCCCTGTTAGCCCCAGGCCATCACTGATCTGATGCTGAGACAACTTTTCTAACTTCTTGCCAGTGGCAGCTGCAAACCAAACAAACCAAACTGACAAATGCACCACTTGGCTTGGCGGCCGACGCTTCTGGCACACAGCTGAGGCTCGGAACAAGCAATTTTACTTGCAAGCTTCTCCCACAGAACCTGCAAGCTGACTTGCTTGATCTCCTTCAGCCTGGAAGGTGTCAGCGAGATTATGGCGAGGAGGCATGGGGTCGAGCACTTGTGCATCCGCACTCGGATGGGTCTGGTTCATCTTCACCAAAAACGCTGTACAAGTAGAGGTACTAAAAAATGACCAGCGAGGTTCATAGCTCTCCAACCGCAGGGGTCACGGGCTGAAGGACTCCTCCCGTCGTCATCGACATCGGTACAGGATGTACCAAACTGGGCTTCGCTGGAAACATCGTCCATACCTCGGGTTGCAGCGGCGTGAGCATTCTTTCATAGCAGGGAAGGAGTGGACAAACTTGGTCAGAAGTTCAGAGCAACTTCATTACTCCAGAATGCACCGGCTCAGTGCTCATCTTGAACCCAAGATTCAGGAACCCACCTTCATGGTCCCCACCGTCGTGGCCAATGCTGCCAAGAAAACGACGGGGAGCCAGGGCCTCGCAAGGAGGGAGGGCATTGGCTTGCTCCCGAAAAAGGGTTATACAGGGCATTATACAGGGCTGCTTTTATGAGGCTTAAGGAGGATACTAGGAATTTAGACTAGTTCACATGCAAAATGCATGTGGGACCGAAACATGATATGCAAGGCGTCGTGGGGAGATTTTTCATGAGGTCCTACTTCTGATTGGACCAATTCTCAGGAACCCGTTTTTATGAAAGATCTAGGACTGTGGAGTATCTTCAGGGCCTTAGGGTCTTTCAGGATTTTGTCCATCAAGTGCAGTGAGCGATCTGTTGAACTGTTGCCAGAAGACCGTTGTCAGGTGTACATATCAGCCAGACGCCATCGGCGCAAGGGCTTGCCGATGCGGACTTCTACATTGGTGATGAGGTTTCTGGCAAGGGGATAGAGATGCCTGAGTCAGCTGACAGATGTGAGGTTACATGCAGCTTAGGGCTTGGGGTGTGGGTGAGCTGTGGTTCGAGAAGTGCACTTGGGGAGTCTTACTAGGACCATGGTTTTCCCTCGACTACCTGTGACTACCTTTTGATGCCTTGAGGCAGTATTCGTAGCAGCAGTGGTGGTGGTGGTGGTGGTGGTGGTGGTGGTGGTGGCGGTGGTGGTGGTGGTGGCGGCGGTGGCGATGGCAGCGGTGGCGGCAGTGGCATGCGGCGGCGGCAGCAGCGGTGCTGCTGCTGCTGCTGCTGCTGGTGGTGGTGGTGGTGGTGGTGGTGGTGCTGGTGGTGGTGGTGGTGGTGGTGGTGGTGGTGCCCACGTTCTCAAGTATGAGTTATCTACCATGCTTGTCATGTGGGCAAAGTCTCTGAATGTCCAGTCCAACCAGGCCCATCTGCGTTTGGTAACCCTAACCATCCAGGACAAGCCGCGGAACAGTCCTATGACATTCCGAGGGTCCATTTTTTGCAGGTGGACAGGGGTCCCTCTTGTAGTTTAGTTTCGTCCCTCATATACTCCCGAACAAGGAATCCATGTCCATTAATTATCTGGGAAATATTGACTCATATAATCCCCATATAACCCTATGTCATAACCCTGTACAATTCCTATATAATCCCTGTATAAACCTATACAATCCCCTTAGAATCCCTTTATACACCTTACATTCGCCTTTTCAAGTGAGCAAAAACCTGCAGCTTGCAGGCCTACAAGCTGAAGGCCTACCTTGCTTTTGAGTTCAACAGTCACCTACTTGGAGGGTCCTGGGGACTTAGTAAGTAGGTTAATAATGGAAAAGAAAATGGAAACTACAATATATTTTTTAGGGTTTGGGGATTAGGGTTTAGGGTCAGGGGGACTTAGTAATTAGGTAAATAGCACCTATAAGCCATATAATAAATCCAATTATCCCCGTTATTGACCTACTTACTAAGTCCCCACCACCCTCCAGGTACTGGTGCTTAAGGGGAATGTGGGGGAGTGAATGTAGGTACTACTATAAGGTTTAGGGTTCAGGGTTCAGGGTTTAGCGTGGGGAGTGAATATAGGTACCATTATAGGGGTATATATGGGGATTACATAGGATCCACTCCCCCGCTCTCCCCGAAGCACCAGTAAGTAAGTGTAAGGTGGAAGAGGGCAGTGCCATTTTGAGATGGTCCTTGTTCGGATTTGCCTACTGCATATGAGCTACAGTCTAAAGTCCTTAAAGAGGGTCATATAGAGTTCAGGGTTTAGGGTTTAGGGGTAGAGTCTAAACTCGTTGAAGGAGGTTACATAGGGGGTTATGTAGGGGAGGGAGTATTGTAGGGGTTATTGGGGGGATGCAGGGAGTTTACACTATAGCTCATATGGAAGCCGGGCAGAAGGATGGGCTTTCGTAGTGAAGGGCGGAGACCACTAGTTGTTTGGACGATCTACTTGACTTTGAGTGGCTCCGGAACACCATTTTCAACAGTCTGAGTCTTCACAAATCCTTGCAAGACCTGCTGATGATAGCAGCGTAGTGGTAGTCCGGTGTCCTAGTATGATAGGCATGAGGTTTGCACAGTAAGGGGATAAGCCAGATACGCTTTACACAACTTTCTTGAATCCATGCATTGCCTGCTTTGCGCACAGATGGTGGCTGACTCCGCCCTGAAGCTGCATCGGGGAATTGTTCTACGAAGAAAACATCTTGCTCCAAAATCGATGTGTTTGGCCAGCTTGCACGTGTCATTGATGATCACGGCAAATACATGGAGTTTCTCAAAGCAAGTCTTGTGCTGTGCCATCCTCATATACAGCTAGGATCACTCACGCACCCCATGTTGAGAATCTCCGCAGGAGTTGTGGAGCATATCAGTTCAGCTAGTTGGGTGCTCTTTGAATCATTGATGTGCATGTCGCCCCTTTACCAGAGTCCACGTCAGTCCCGCATGTAGACATGCAGAGATTTCATGAAAACAGGATCTAGATCAGAATGCAACAGCCATAGGAATGGTGGTCACCAAAATGACTCCCTGTGGAATCCTTTCCAGAGACCCTCACAATCCCTTTGCAGTCCCAGCAACGTTTTGTGATCCCCATATATCCCGAGGGTCACTAGGGCGCCCCGTTCTGAACGACCCTTGAATGCTTGGCCTGACTACCCAAGCAGAAGTTTGTTGCATGGAGGACTCGCCGAATTATTTGCTCTCCTCGCCCGTTTCCAAGGGCAGGCACGATGAGAACTGGGTGTCTTAGCAAAGCCTCAACTCCAGGGTGCTCTTCGCCTTTGCCCTTGTGTTTTAGGCCTTGGATCATTGCTCTACGAGAATTACCAATCCTCAAGTCATGTAAGACCTCCTCTCCGACAATTCAGGGCTCGGAACAAAAGCATGCGTGCGGAAGGCCAGCTTTTGCATGGCATCTGGGGGTTGAGCCAGGGCTTTGGCAACAATTGATTTCGGTGGCCATGATTGCTGTAAAGAGGCTTAGGACTTCCAATGCTGTCACATGCATTGAATGCAGGATAGAGCACTGGGACGACATGGAGCGCTTCCTGCAGCAGGCTGGTGCTGATGACTTTCCTTCCAAGCAGCAGAAGCAGCATGCAACATTAGACGCCTGCCTGCATGCGGCCCATGTATTTGCCCTGCCAAGCCTGAGGCGATCTTCCGAAGCCTGCGCTGTATACCAGAGGATCACGTGGCCAGACTGAAAAGCATGGAAGTGTTGCATCAAGTCATAGAAAGCAAAAACCCGGCCGGTTTGCCGAGGCATGTTTCGGCCCAATTCAACTCTGGACGGAAGATCAAAAAGTTTGGCTTGGTGCTGATGTACGTTCGATGCAGGTTGTGCAAATAAATGATCAGCATTTGGTCCCCGGACATTGAAGCCAGCCTGCTATGAGGGAAAAGCTTGGATCCAACGGTGAGGACTGCCACCGTGTCCCATCAGAAAACGTATTGGCCAAGATGCTCTGGCCGGAACTGGCCATGCCGCATCCTTGCGTGTTGGGGTACAGGCTGGCAGCCCTAATAGCCCCACTTCTCAGAATAATGACTCTCAGGCTTCCGAACACGCGTAAACAGCCAGCATTAAGCATCTCTGCTAGAGTAATCTACAGCCATTTCCTACACAGAGCCCCCCTGCAGAGCCAAGGACTTCCTCCTCACAGAACCGCCTTTCAACACCCCGGAGAACCGGGAGCTGATGGCGGAAATGATGCCATGGCCCCGAGAGCAGCGGTCAGATAGATGGATCGCATGGAGCGCTCCATTTTGGAGCTTTGATTCTTGTCCGTCCCTGCAAGAGTATGCATAAAATGGGTTGTCCCAAGCTGCAAGCTTTTGGATTTATGGGCTAGCTGCTAGTGGCTAGCCATGTTACGCCACAGCAGTCCTACCCCAGGTTCGAAACCTTCAATGCTCCCGCCTTACAATCTTCGAGCTTTCTACTTCAAGGGCGACTGTAGGGTTTGGAGTTTTCAGGTCTAACAAGCTCCGGGCGAACATGTCAGGGTTTAGGGTTTAGGGTTTATGTAAGGGTGAAGGCTTTAGGGTTTGGGGTTTAGGGTGTAGGGTGTATGGTTACTGGAACCTTCCTCCAGCATCTAGCAGAAAGAGGGACTTGTAGCAATCAGAAGCACACCTTCGCGCATGAAATACCCGAAGGATTTCCTTCGCGCAACGTTGTTGTTCAATAGTGCTGTAGCTATAGCCCTTGTATCACTGTAGCACATAACATGTCCTCCGGACCTTATTCGGTGTCTTCAGGTCCTCATTGCACACCCGGTTGATGTTGAGCGTGGACTACGCGGCCGTCCACACCACTGAGGTGAATGGCCTGTACATCGGTGTGCAGGCTGTTCTATCTTTGTATGCGCAAGCAGCAGGCGCCCCAGGTATTCTGCAGACCAAAGTTCAAAGAATAGTAATAATCCTGCTAATTGTGAGTATTACTAGTAATAGCAATACTTCTAGGAAGTAGTAGCAATACTACGAATAAAGGCAATGTATTGTTCTTCAGACATTGCCCAGGTCAGCGAAGAACAGTTTGAGGGCTACAGTCCCAACCTGACGGGCCTAGTGGTAGATTCGGGTGATGGCCGCGCGCCCAGATGCTTTCGTTGTATTTAGCCTGAGACCTTCAGCTTGGTATGGCTCAGTGAAGCCAATTGATGCTCTTGATGTTGGCCTCGAAGTTCAATGGGAGTCTATGCAGGCCTCTCGCATGTCATTCCTGTGGCGGACGGCTACGTCATCACCTCCTGCATTCAGGCCTTGAGCACGTGAAGTGCCTAAGCAATATTTTGGATAGGAAGGGCTCGTCGGCACTAGAATTCGACAGAACATTCCGAAAGTCCAGGCAGAGCATAACGTTTGGTGTATAGTGTATTGGGATCAGACAAACATGCTTGGCGCGAGAGACCAGCAGCCTACTCTCTCAGCCTTTTGGCTCACTGGCATTCGTTCCCTTGCAGTGCACTGTGCCGCATTCTCAGTGTGCCGCAATCATTGACAAGCGCCTTTGCAAAACGTCGTACTATGGATGTTGACGTCAATGCGCCTTGTTTGATGTTGCTCACGTTGGATCCATGTAGCTTTATGTACAGACAGAAGAGGGCTCCAGACAGGTGATTGCAGGCACTCTCAGGCAATTGGTGCGCCGTTTGCATGTACCTGTACACCGTGCATGTCACCTGAGTGGCTGCATCCGCCGCTTCGGTTAACTTTTTGCTAATCATGTTTTGTCATGTTCAACCTGAGTGCAATGACCTGTGACCGGCGCACTACAGCGGGGGCTTTGCGTCCGCATGCCGGCAGAGAGAGAGAGAGAGAGAGAGAGTAAGATCTTCGTGCATGAGCCATCCCAAGCTCTCTGTAGAGTTTTTCTTACTGGGGTTCGTAGGGAACAGGGAATATACTCTCTACATAATCTGTATATAACATATTCCCTTATTCCCTACTATAACCCCAATATATACCCTATTCTGATGTAGTAGTTTCGATGTTCTTTCCTATTATGTCTATATAACCCCAATCTCAAACCATGTTCCCTACTAGCCCTAAGCCCTAAACCTTGAACCCTAAATCCCATATATTCCCACTAACCCAAAACCCTACATATTCCCTACTCACAACCAGGAAGGTTTTTGGAACTCTGAGGCCCCACATGGCTCTGCAGGTTTCGCAGAGGCAGAGACCAGGCCAGGGCGGGAGCTTGGGGGTTCCAACACTTGCTGGGGGATAGTAGGGAAGAGATGAATGAATAGATACATGAATATACATTTAAAATATAAGCATATATATATATATGCACATACAAATTCATATATATATATAGGTATGTATAGGATTTAGGGTTTGGGATTAGTAGCGAATCTGGGAAGAGATGGGGTTATACAGGATACTGGACAAGAACATCGAAACTACTACATCATAATAGGGTATATATTGGGGTTATAGTAGGGAATAAGGGAATCTGTTATATAGGGATTATGTAGAGAGTATATTCCCTGTCCCCTACTAACCTCAGTAAGATTTTTTGCGGTTGGCTGAGAAACAGGCAGGGGCTAATGCTGTCTGTTGTCTGGATACGGTCTTGATGTGAAATAGGGTACGAGGTGTGGACGTGACCTGCTATCCTGACAGGACCCACGTCTCAATGAGACAGGGCAACGTTTATGATTCGAGTAGTGAAAGGTCATCTGCTCCCTCCTTTGACTGCGATATGCATTCCTGACACCTAGAAAAGATGAACGGATGTGGTTACTGGCTGAGGAGAAAGGAGTTTTTGATCCATCCCTCTATCGATTCAAACGGAGGATCATGAAAAGGGGTTCCAGTTTTCAGCTCCTTCGACTTACTGGGGCTTAGCAGGGAATCTGGGAACATGTTGCCCAGGGATTCCATAGGGACTACCTGGGGATTAGATCTTCTCATTCCCTACTAGAAGCAGTAAGGCAATGGGCCCGGAAGTGGCCCGGAACTGGCCCGGATAAGCAAGAGTGGACCTGGAGGCGCCCATCGCCGCAGCGGACGCCTGGCCCTGCTCCTGGCGGCTGCCTTGGCGTGGGCGTTGCTTGCAGGCGGCTCTCAGTGTGTTTGGTGGCTTATGAAGTGTTAGTAGGGCATGCGGGAATAGATGGGAATTCTATAGGAATAATGGAAAAGAAATGGAAACTACTACATCATAATAGGGTATTTATTGGGGTTCTTATGATTCGGATTCACAGGCTTGCTTCCTCATTCAAGTTCCGGAACTTGAATTAAGATCGCATCATGATAGGGTTTCCCAATATAGTAACTCAAATTACGTTCCTTAACAGCAACCCAGTTTATGACAATGCCGTTCCTGGGGAATTCTAGGGAAGTGACTATTCAGGGCTACTTGAAGCCTAATTTGCTCTCTTTTTTTGCTCGTCTTGCTCTGTTTGTACATAGACCCGACCTCTTTCCTAGATCCCACTCCATCCGGAAAGGATGTTCCAGAATTTCAACGCTGTTTGTGCAGCCGAGCCATCGCGTCCCTGTTCAGGCAAGGTAGGGCCATGGACTTTAGGACTATATGTTATATAGGGGTTATATAGGGGTCATATAGGAGTTGAATAAGGGGTTATATGTAGATTCTCTGCATACCCTCTAGGATAGTAACATGTTTTGTTTTCTGAAGCTCGAATGCGAGTGACAGAGAATTTGGGGTGCTTATACCGAAGATTTCCAATTTTGGGACGGGAAAACGTACAGCATTTCGGCCCTTTTCATGGCAATTGCAATTATCCCTTGTTTGCATACCCCCTATCCTGCACACGTCCGCAAAAGACTGGCCTGAATCCTAAAATCTGGAGATAATGACATGTAATCTCGCTGAAGATCGGGCGTGGCTTGGCATGTGTAGAGTACAGCGATGCAGCTTGTCAATACGTTCGCAGCCACAGTGCGGATGAGGTGCCCTTGACCATTCCAGCTAAGCTGCTCAATCATGCCCCTTATGTGAAACAACCCCCTCCCTCAGTTCCAGATCTGCTATGGCGCTACATGCAAGGGTAGGGGGTGGTTCACATCAGGCAGAAGGGATAACACCGAAAGGTTTTGCGACCCCAACTGAATGGAGCCGATCACAGTCGCGTGCACGACGATGGCTTGTCGTTTCGTTGCTTGGCTTCAAGCTGCTATTGCTGGTTTGTTTTTCATGACAGACATCCAGAGAAAGCGGAAACTAGTATAATGGTATTGGGGTTATATAGGGGATAATGGAAAAGAACATGGAAACTACCATTTAGGAGTTAAGGGGTTCAGGGCTTAGGGTTTAGGGGTTAAGGGGTTAGGGTTTAGGTCCAGGAATCATGGGGACAGTGGTACTTTTAGGTACTTCCCGTATGAGGATGGTGTGGTGGTTTACCATGACAGTAGAGTTGGTACTAGCTAATAGCAATGAGAAGAGCAGGATGGGTGGACATCTAGACACCGTCATTAAGTTACCATAACATGGGTAGAAGTTGGGTACGCCCCCGCCTCAGTAACAGTTGGATAATAAATATGACAGGGTTATGTATAGCCCTTAATAGCGCCCCTAATATGGACTGTTACTGGGTGGGGGCACTACCCAAGGTATAGTAAATAATAGACTTTCCCTGTTATAGTAGCTGAACTTAAGTTCTTGGACAGCAACTCAGTTTGGAGTTCGTATACGTCGCGCAGATTGCAGCCCCCTATCGTCCGCACTGTAAGTTTACCGCTGTCATAACCCTTCCAATTTCCGGTAGTTTCAGAGGACCCCCCATAAGCCCCCCTCCTCCTTAAGCCCCCATTTTTGAGGATCCCCGGCATAAAACCCAAGCCCATAACCCAATAAAGCCCTAACACCTCAGACCCAAACCCCATGTGATATCCTACTTAAGGGGTGATCTTACACTCATATAAGCACCTGGAAAAACTAGTTTCCGTTTGATTTTCTAGTTTCTTTCCATCATGATTGGGGCAATATCCCTCAGCCTTAGATAATCTCCATATAGCCCTATAAGAACCCCTATATAGCCCCTAGAATAACCCACATATGGGTAGTTCCCAAGATGAGGGTCCCATTTTGCTACCCCAAAATATCAGGTGCCGACAATCTAGAACCAAAATTGGGCCCATAATTTTGAGAACAACACATATAACCCCTGTAAACCCCTATGATAACCCTATGTAATCCCTAATAACCCTACAAGAAGGCCTGTATAGCCCCTGTAATAATCCCTACGCAACCCTATGGAATCCCTATAGTAACCCTCTGAGAACCCCTTGTATAGCCCCTATAAGAACTCCTACCTAACCCTACATAATTCCTATAGTAACCCTCTGTGCCCTATAATAATCCCTATGTAACCCTACATAATCCCTATAATGACCCTTTCTTCCTAACCCAAGGTCTGGCCGGAGCCTCTGCGGGCCTTGTCCTGGCTTTCGGTGGGAGCCTCGCAGTTCACCGCCTCGGTGGCCGGACAGCTCGGAAGTCCCGAGGCGAGCTGTGAGCATGGTTGGATGCGCACCTTGAAGCAGCTGCTAGGAGACTTAGAGGATTTCTTGGGGGGCATTCTGGGGATTATATACGGATTCTACAGGGAGATTATGTCTTTCTGATCAGCTAGACTCCTCCGAGCCTGCGGTGTGGATTTCCTCAGTTTTTGGGGAAGACTCTACTTCATGTCTGGCAGGTGGCTTCGATGCTGGAGCGGATCTGCAGCTGCCCGAGGGATGCACGCTGGGGGATCTCACCCCAGAATGTGTCAAATACTGGGCGACGCCATGTCTGAAGCTGAGATGCAATGCTGTCGTTGTCCTGCAAGTTGAGAGAGCGGACATCTAGCTGAAACTCCGTGGGGGCGGAAGGTTCTGACTTGACCATTGGTGTGCTGAAGGACCGTGGACTCGTGTGAGCTAGTGACTAGTGCCACTGAGTTGGGGTCTTGGTCTTGTCCTCGGGGACGAAGTGACCTGTGCAGGAAACTGCTGTGCAGAGCGGCACCGGTGAGCTTGAGAAGCGGGTGGCCGCCACGCCAGCCTCTATTGCCATGCTGCGGAAAGAAGGATACAACGTGGCAGCGTGTCTGCAACCAGGCACCTTTAACGTGCGTTATGAATGGCCTACATCTTGCAGTGATTCGCAGTGTCTACACGGCCAAGCCCAGAGTCTGCAAGTGGACTGTTGGCCACCACACGCGTTGCTGCTTCAACGCTAAGGTTGTGCAAGCTGCCAGGTTGCAAATAGCTTGGTCAGAGGCTCCAGCGGCTTCGGACTGTGTTTTTGCTCTACCTTCTGGAATCTGATGTCGTGTTGCATAAATCCAGCGCTCTCCTTCCTGGACTTCGCTACTTGTTGTGGAACATGTGCGTTGACAGTTCAAGCTTCACTGTCAGATCATGAATCCTTCTCAGGAGTAGCCAGCAAGGTTTCAACGTGCGAGTGTGATTTCTTTTTACGAGAGTAGCCTCGTCCTGGTGACTCTGCCTGGCAGTTTAATGCACTCTTTTTCTGCCCATGCTTCTGAAATAACTTGTCGGGCTGTAGATCGGGCAGGTCGCTCAAATTACAAGCCGCAAACCAGTCTGGACACAAACCGTCTCATGACTGACTCAGGACAGCTCACGAGTGCAAAGGCCCAACACTATGGAAGCTCAGTCAAAAGATCAAATAAACCCGCAAGCGCTCCGCTGCACATCTCTTTTCTTTTCCCATGCGAGCACACCTAAACTTCTGAACAAGCCTAAGCCGCAACAGCACCTTTTATTCCCGCACAGCCCCCGCCCCACCCTGCTCTGTTTCACTTAGCTGCCCCTAACCCTAAGCCACGAGCCCTGAACCCTTGAACTCTAACCTAGGAAACGGCTTCATTAAAAAACTCGAACCTTCTACTCTGAAATCCATATGCATATATATATATATGAATTATGTGAGCAATATGTATATATATATATTGTATATATATATATATAGTTGTGTAACCCCAGAATATCACGCTTTAATCATCTCCTAAGCTCAGGCCAACGCTGGCCTCGCCGCAGAGGTCTCAGACGCCGACTTCGAGGAGGCTGGCGCCAAGGCGCAACAGCTTCCAGGATGTTCAGCGGAATTGTTTTGAGGGTTTCCTGAAATTAGGGGTACCCTTTTTGGGGGTCCCTATAGTAAGGACTATAGTATGTTGGGGTCTATATTGGGGTCCCCTTATTTTGGGAAACTACCATCTTGAGGCTTAGGGTTCAGGATGTTGGGTTTGGGACGTAGGGTTAAGCGATTTAAGGTTTAGGATTTAGGGTTCAGGGTTTGGGGCTTAGGGTCTAGGGTTGGATTAGATTTTATAGGGTCATAAGGGGTAGGTCTATGTAGGATTTAGGGCAACCTCGAAGTTAATACGGAGTTATATGATCTCATGCTGGAGTTGCTGTATGTAGGCTTGTATAGGGATTATATGGGTAGTTCCCAAGACTAGGGTCCCGTTTTGGTACCCCTAAATATTAGGTGCTGAAATATGATCCTTAACCATAAGGGGCCATAATTTTGAGAGCAACCCAAAGGGGGTTCCTGTGGGCTTGTGTTGGATGCTGGGGGTAGGTAGGGCTACACAGGCGCGATATCGGCTCCATGGGGGTATGCACGGTTTATGGATCACTACAACCCCCCTCAGCCCTATCAATGAAACCATATTGCCAAACATGCATGAGGAGGGTTCATTACCCGGGCTGAGTAATGGCCGTATGATCCCAATGTACACTTGATATTCCATGTGATTCTCCATTGTCAGGGCCAGGGGGGGGGAAGAATACGTGTATAACTGTATAACTATATCAGGCCTCCACCATGCCAGTTTCCATAGGATGTTGCATGCGATTCTCCTTCGTTAATTCCATGATTTTAGGGTTTAGGGTTGAACCCTGGGCCCTGTATCATCCCTGTTTCCATGTCCTTGTGCACTTGACATCCTGTTTGGGTCCCAAACCGTACCCTAATCTGAGAAACTCCCACCTAACTAAATGGGAAATAAGCTTCTACCTGACAGGTGCTTTCGGATGCACGAGCAGTCTGCAAGCAGGCTGGTTCGGGGAGGAGCTCTATTGAAGCAGTTCTTGCCACCAGTGCTATCATTGCTTGGCTTTCTTCATGCTTTCTTCCCTGATATGGGGGAGCAAGGTTCGTCAAGCTTGCCAGGCAGACATCATCTTCAAGGTGAGACCTCCCAGCATGAACGAGGTCAAGCACATGCGCGAGGGCACCACCCTCTTCAGCATGATCTATCCTGCTCAGAATGAAAACTTGGTGAAAAAGATCCAGCAGAAGAGGATCACCTGCTTTGCGATGGTGCCACCCTCAGCAAGAGAGCACGTGGTCAGTGTGCTTGGGAACAGCCGGTTTGTGTGTAGAAGGCGTGAGCAAGCATCTAAAGGATTGACATGCTGAAGGGACAAGATTAAGAAAGGACACTGGGACTTTTTGCAGGAATCTATTTTCCTTGCCAGAATGTGGTCTAGCTCCTACCTGCACAAACCTTCTGTGTTTTCAGTGCTCACATCTTGCACATCTTCAAGCCTTGAAATTGTTATGTGGACGTAAGGACCAGATGCCTCGCACACTGAGCCGTGCCCAAGCCTACGACGTTCTCAGCTCGATGGCAACTTTGCGTGCTTCATCAACGTTTTCAAGATTAGAACGAACGAAGCACGGTGTTGCAGATTTTTGAGAGCTCACTAGTCGCACGTCTGGCCCGAGCTAGGGGTATGTTGCAAAACCTTGTCCCCCCCCGTAAGGTGGAAGAACACAAGTGCAGACAACTGCGCATGAAAAATGCAGAAAGACCACCCTCAGACATGCTTTTTGGGCAAGGCAACTTGTTACTGAAGCCCGTCCATTTCAAGCAAACGCTAATTCTACTTATTGCAGCTCTTTTCTTATTCCTGGCCGGATCAACGGTCATACTTAGTCGAACTTCTAATTGTGAGCGCAGTTCTGATCGTGTGAAGTGGAGCTGAATAGCCTTTGCAAAGAGCCGAGGCAAACATTGCCGGTTACCGCGCCATGGTGGAGGCCAATTTCACGAATTGTTATTGAATTGTCAGATTGGCAATCAGCTACGCTTTTGTCACAGTCGCAATTCTTGCTTTCGGCGCCGATTGGAACCAGTTGTCAAGTTTATTGCTGAGCGTTGTCTTCGCCGTGCTTAGAAATCACAATGGCCATCATAGTTTTCGTGGGTCTCCGGTCATAGTTGTTACTCTTAACAGTTGCATGAACTCGGCCATTGGTGCATGATCTGAGCTGTCGAACTCCTGCCACAGCGCTGCCAGCTGCGGTTTTGCCAATGCTTGAACGTTATCCGGAGAGCACTGTCAAAACAGTGAGCCGGAATAATTTTGTCGGTAACCTGTTTGGGTTTTTGGCCAGCCTAGTGACCTAGTGCATACATTTCTCCCGTAGGTTCCTACCATATTCATGGGTTCTCGCTTGGAGTTCCACTGGCATCTAGCTTTTCGAAGCCGCAAACTGCGCCGTCAAGACTAGGTGATGTTAGGGAGAGCTTCTTCATTTTCAGGAAAACGCAAGCACCACCAGAACTAGCAAGCAGAAATGAAAGGGCCAAATGGTAGTTTACCTAAATAGGGGGACCCCAATATAGAGCCCCAAAAACTATGATCCTTATTCTTGGGACCCCCAAAAGGGTACCTCTAACTTTGGGAAACCCCCCCAAATCTGAATCCAGGAGGTTGTTCCTGTCAGTCAAGGATGACCCTCACAAGACGGATGGCAAAAGGTAACGTTATTTGACTTTACGAGAAGCTACATTTAGAACCCAATGCAAACAGCATGCGAAAATGCAGGACCTCCCAGTTCCATAACCTTAAGCAACCCTAAACCATATCCCTAAACCCAAAGCCCTAAACCCTGAGAGGGACCCTTGCCCCCAAGGGGGCCCTCTTTGCCCTGCCTACCTTGAGCGTCGTAGGCCAGTCATTACTTCGGCCGCTTCTGCGCCGGGCAATTTACCGCCGCAGGGAAGGTTGAGCCAGCGAAGGCAGGGCCAGGGTCCGTACTACTTAGGGTTTAGGGTATTAGAGTTTGGGGTTTAGGGTTTAGGGTTTAGGGATTAGGGTTTGGGTTTTTTCAGGATTTAGGGATTAGGGTTTAGGGTTGGGGTTTATGGCTTAGGTTTCAGGGCTAAGGGTTTAAGGTTGAAGGTTTAGGCTCTACAATGTAGGGATCATATAGAGCTCAGGGACATTACCGCAATAGAGAATCAAATGCAAGAGAAAGAACATCGAACTATTGGGTTCCTGGCACAATGCTCGCCTCAATACTTTGAAACAAAAGTCCTTAGTTTTAACAACTCACCGACTAGGTATAGGACAAAATCCTGCTCAATTTCCCCGGACTTGATAATTCCCATCAAGAGCAGATAGTCATGAGCCGGACGTTCAGAATTCGAAAGGGTTTGCATAAGATAACCTGAAGCTGCTCGGGTTGCATAGGGGATCCAAAGATGTACGTGGAGGCTCGAAGTGGGGTGGCCACGTGTGACCCCATGTTTAAAGATTTGGCCTTCCAAGTAGGATGTATCATTCCCCAGGGATCAGGGCCCAGGGATCAGGGCCCAGCGATCAGGGCCCAGAGTCAGAGTTCAAGGCTCAGGGATCAGATCAGGACTGCAATTTTGGGGTTTTGGCGCACTCTGGTTTCAGGGATCAAGCAAGCACGTCTTTGCAGGGGGCTTAGGGTTGAGAGATTTCCGGGATGGTCCAGGATCAAGATTCTCTCGCCAACGCTCATGTGATGCAGGTGCTGGTGATTGGCGCTGGTGTGGCAGGGCTTGCTGCAATTCAGTGCCCCGGCTATCAGAAGTTGATGGTGATGATGAAGATGATGATTAACGCAGATAGCCATGTGAACAGCTATGACTCTAAACACTTTGCGAGCCAGAACCTGAGGCAAGCAAAGAACATGGGCTGCATCGTCCGCGCCTTTGATGTGCGCCCCGCTACTCGTGAGCAGGTGGTAGCTGCAGGAGGCAGGGTGCTGCTCATCCACGTCAAAGTGAGAGTGGTGCAAAGCGACCCAGGCATCCGATTTGGGGCTAGTCCAGGGTTATTTAAAACAAGGAGAAAGGGGGAATTTCGTACTGGTAGAGACCGCACAAGCAGGTTCCAATCGAAACAATTGAAGCTCCAGCTGCTCACAAGTTGCGAGGCGAGTTTTTGGAGGTCCAGATTGAGGAGGATGGCTCTGGCACAGGCAGGAGCATATGCTGCTAAGCGTTTTGCATGTTACTGCCCTTCATGGCCACTGTGACCAATCAAGATTGCCCAGCGGATGCTCGCTCATGTCATTGCTGCATCTGTGCACTCACCGCCTGAGCCCACACATGGCTTTGAAAACAAGGTTTTGGATATTACCCTTGCTGGACGGTTCAGCGTTGGGTGTCCTGGTCCTGGTTTTCGTAGTGGCTGCTACATAGTATGCCTGGTGTGTGAAGTCCCTTGCTTGGTCATAAAGCTTTCCCACCAGCTATGAGTTCTTTCAACCGGTCGAGGCGGCTATGCCAAGGAGATGTCCAAGGAGTTCATTGAGGCGGAGATGGAACTCTTCCGTCAACAGTGTGCGGACTGCGATATTGCACCCTGGCCAGCAACAAGGCTTCAGTCGACTGGGTTTTGGTTTTGGACCGCTTTTGTCTGATAAGGGGTCTCAGAAAATACCAGTGCCTAGTTTAGGGCGTCATTCTACATCCCACGCTTGCTCTCAAGATTTGATATTCCATGCTATACAAATAGAATGCGAAGCAGTGGTAGTCATGGCAAAGCTACGGCGCTGCGTGTCTCTGAAGCAGGTTATTACCACAGCGCTGATTCCCGGACGCCCTGCGCCGAAGCTGCTCACCAAGGCTCCACAAAGCCTCGCAGAAGTCCTGATTAGCTACGTGAAGCAGGGAGGGAGAGCGTAAACTCAGATGAAGCAGCTTGAAAGCACCTGCTTGTTCCTCGCGTCGTGCTGCCAGTCATTGGTGGAAACTCATTCCGAGACCTATTCCACTACTAAACAGGAGCACATCGATGGCATGAAGCCTGGGAGTGTGGTGGTGGATTTGGCAGCGGAGACTGGAGGAAATGTGGCAACCACAAAGCGCGGCTTTGGCAGTTCTTTCAAGATTATGTTCTTGAAGGGTGTGTAACTTTTGGAGGCGTTCCCCTGTGTTGTGGCAGGCCTGGGGAGGTTTACGAGTACAACAAGGTGACCCATATTGGCCTGTCCCTCTACGAGCACATGCCGAGCCGCATGCCCGCGCAGGCCGGAGCCTGGTCAGCTGAGTGGAGCATGGGTTCTATAGGGGTTTACATAGGGGTTCACATTGGGGCTTATATAGCGGTTTACATTGGGTTTACATTTGGCTTGCTGCCGCTGTGCCAGCAAGGCGTCGTTTCTGTTTGCCAACAACATGGCGAAGTACTTGTGCAGCATGGGACCGCAAGGCTACTTCTTTGTTGACTATGATGATGCACCTGGGGCTGCAAAATCTCTCTCTTACTTCGGCTCCTGAGCTTCCGTTAGCCGTCCGGCACGTGGCTTGTTGTCGCATACCGAGGTACCGACCCGCGGGGCTTTGATCTGTCGCACCTTGGATGAAGTGGTTGGTCATGTAAAAGGCGTGCAAGCTGGGAATAACAGGGGGTGTCGGGTCAAACTTCGTGGTAGAACGCAGCACTTGAATTTAGAAGCAATGTGCTCCACGCCTGGCCCCAGCATAGCCTTGGGCTTCCGTTAGACAAGTGGGCCATTGTCGCAAGTAGGCCGTGCACAGTCCAACCGAATGGAGTCCTAAGTTGTCAGAAGTTGTGGAACCGCGCGGGGCCGATTTACAGGAGTTCACCCCAGCCAGGTAGGGACGTGTAGTGGCCCAAAGGAACTTGCTTGCAGTCCTATATGACTGATGTTGAGACATCGAAAGTTGATATTTCGACGTCTTCGACGCCATAGGATCCAATCAGCAAGTATAAAGCACAACTGAAAACAACCTCAAATGTCGATGATTAGCATGCTCTGTGTTTTGCTGGCATGCATGCACCAGGCCTGCCCGTCCTGAAGATTTTGTGGTTCTTCAGCCCTCGAAATTCTTAAAGTCGAAGCAATGGCGTTCTCTGCTGAAGCTTTTCTTTTCGAGCTGGAGACGCCAGTGGTGCTTGCGGCAAGGGAGCAGCCGCCGGTGCAGGCTAAGCCGATCCTGGCTATGGAGGATGAAAAGACCTTCTGGGAGATCTTGGTCCTCTGCCTCACAGACCTTGTCACCCCAAGCTGTTGAGGCCGCTGGGGCTCAAGTGATCAGAATCCTTGGAAGGGGCGCTAGTATGGGTAGCCCCATGTACTATACTTTCAAAACGATCTTCTTTCAGGGTTCAGCAAGACGGCATTCTAAGATACAAGGCATTAATGATTGAGAGGCCGATGCCGTTGTATAGCAAAACTCTGAGGCAATGATGGAGATGCTGGCACTGGCCTACAAAGTGGATGGTCAGAAGTCTGTTGGCAACACCGCTCTACGCTGGATCGAGTATTTCAGGATGGACATGGTGCCGTCACAAGTGTTACAAATATGCGCGCCCCGACATTCTCAATCGTTCCATTCTCAATCGTTCTGGGGATTTCCAGTACGTTTTGCCGCGATTGGCCGTGATGTCTTCCCACGCGGCAGGCCTAGATGCAATGACACAGGCCAATCGAGTTTGCCATGCAGAAGAACCACGGGACATGGTGCCGTCAACTCACAATTCCCAAATCTTGAATTTTCTGTTGGGCAGGCCGTGTGTGGTCCTCAACGTTGCGGTGCTCGATCTTATCGTAGCTCCCGGTATTGCGGCTAGAAATCAGCAAACAGTGATGCACTGGTCCGTACTCGTGGGATTTTCGCCGGTCCTTTTAGCTTAGTGCTGCTTCTGTGACCCCTGCTTGCGGTTGCGTACCATGCGCCCACAGCATCACCTCCTGGGCAATGACCCAGCGAAGATGTTTCATGTTGAGCAACCCGTCGAGTCACAAATGGCTCGCGGCAACGGGGTGTTGCGTCAGCTTGATGTTGACATGCAGTGGTGAAGCGTCAGGAGTCATGAAATTCGAGTTGGAACATATCAAACACAACAACTATCAGAGGCAGGTCGTGCGAGAAACGAAGACGCGTTTTGAAAGACTTTGTGGCTTGGCCGATCCTCGAAGTCCGCCGGAGGACGCATCGCAGCCACTCATTGTTTCCAGGTTACAGGCAGCGCATCGCATTGCAGCAGGCCCGACTGAGTTGTGCCATAGAGGCTCTTCATGAGCGCTGGAAATTTGCGAGTTTAAGCATGTGTGACGAACTCGTTGTCCACAGCGTGGGATGCGATCGCGCCACTGCAAAGTCTTTGTCATGGTCCCTCTCAAGACCATCATCTACTTCTGCTAGGCAGTCTTCTCGTATGCGTTGGATACTGTGTTTCTTTCAGTCAGCTACTGCGCACCCTGACAAGTGGGTCCCTGGCGTGTATCAGACACTCAGACAGGGTTTGGATGGAATCTGGATAGAGCTCGCAGCATGGCTGGCTTTCCTGCAGCTTGCAAAATGTCACCCCTTTGATGCTCAAATCCTTTACGTGCCTCCTCTATTGGACAAGAAGAGCAGCAACAGAAAAGATGTCCGCCCCCCAAGAGTCACCCAGAATTTCAAGAAACGTCGAAGACTGGGAGTTGCTTAACTCAAATATATTCAAATGAACTTTCGGCCTCCAAACAGGACCCACGATCGCCACATATCCTTACCAAATTGGTCACAAAGGCTGCCCTCTTGCAAGAACCTCCAATCCTACTGGAGCCCCTCCCTAAACCCCAAGCCCCGAACTCTCTAAACGCAGGCAAAGGCCTCCGTTTTTCAAAACAAAATGTCACCATACAAATCCTCAAGGTGAGGGAGATCGGACCTGGCCATGGAGCCCACCAAAGATTGAGACACCTCCTGCCCAGGAGGAGGAGGGGGGTAGGTCTGCGATGAGGGTGTTGGGATATGCGGTTTAGGGAGGGTTTAAGGGTCTTGAGAGTTGTAAGGTTTTTCGATGAGCGGTTTGTGCGTCAAGAAGAGGTGTTTGTGGTTTGGGGTTTGGGGGTCGGAGAGGGGGTGCAACGCTTAGGGCTTTGGGCTCAGGGATTGGTGTTTAAGGATTGAGGTTTGCACTGGGGGTTTGTGGAATTTCATGGTCAGTGTGGGCAGTCACTCATCGCACGGATTCAATTTGTTACAGGTTTCAGGCATGCTGCTGAATCCAGCGCCTCAAGCGGGTTTCAAGTTGATGGCGCAGAGCTTCCGATAGTTGGGAGTTAGGTACTTGGGATTTCAGTACCCAAATAGTTGCTTAGTGCTAGTATGAATATTTCTTCTGCTCAAGGCTGCAACCCCGCTGTAGACCTCTACTCAACCCTTAGCAGCAAAGAAACAAAGCGAGCAGGCCAGTTGGGGACCATGGCTTGGGGATAGCTTAGGGCTTATGGAGTTGTGTCGCTTCACTGAGTTGAGCTCATGTGCTCCAAAGATTCCCAAGCGGATGCTGGGTGCCATGATTGCCCCGATCGCCCATGTTATGTTACATATGTTTCCCATGATGCAACGTCGCAGGAGCCTGTTGAAGAGACGCCGGTTGCAGAAATGAGCCCTGAAGAGGAGCTTGGGTCCAAGCATTCAACATTATTGCCATGATTGAGATTGATGCTGTGATTGTAGAGGGAGTGCTCTCAGCACGGCACAGCAATATCCTTCACTATTTGCAGTAGTTGTGTCGACATGTTGAAAGTTGTGCAAGATCAAGCTATCTTGCTGTTACTGGGGTAACGAGCAGCTCTCAGCACGGTTCGTTCGAAGGATGCACACGAACAAGCATGCATCCGTGTCCATGTTGAGTCCGACCGGCGGCGATGCCAAGATCCGTATTCTGGCAGACTAAAGGCACCAGGATCATCCCAAAGTCCCGGCCGCTCCGAAAGCTTCTTATACATAGATGTGGTTGGCGGTGAGGGCTTGGGAAAAGATACTTGACCCAGTGAACCGGTGCAGCTCAACACCGCTGGGGCTTGGGAGTTTCCCGCCCTCTTCTGGCAGTGCCTTCCTAGCACATCCTCTGAGATGGATATATGCGGGGCTCTAAAAAGGGTTTAGGGGTTTTTAGGTATCTATCTCTCTTACTGACTGAAACCTTTGAGCGGCAACTTTGCCCGCCTGTACTGTAAGACGCGGCAAATGGCTTTTCAGATCATAAGCCCCCAGCCCCAAATCCTAAGCCCTAAGCGCAAAAAACACCCTAAGCCCTAGGCCCTACACTGCCCCAAAAATGCAAAAGCTACTTAACTTGCAAACCCATATAGCCGCTAGAACGGCACTGCAGGAGTCCTTTCAAAGCACCGCGTCCACCGTGGCTCTGGTCTCCTTGATTGTCATGGCCCTGCTGGCAGCAGGCTCGCCTCCGCCTGAAAGTCAAAACTTTTCGGGCAGGCCAGTGAAGGTCACATACCAGAAGCAAGGAACTCCTGAGCATTTCTCTCATCGAGCTAAACGCCTAGCACGTGAAGTGTGCAGAGCCGTCTTGCCCTCTTGAGGCACGGCTGGCGATTCAGTGACCACGATGCTCACCACGCTCGGCTTGGCCCTCATCGGCGGCGCACAGGTCGTCTATGGAGCGTGGGTCTCAGGACCCTCATAAAGGTAGAACGCTGTCATAGGCGCGGCATTCACTTTTTTGAATTCACTGGCTGTTTGCTCTGACCTGCACACTTCTAATGCCTGAGTACATCGGATCTACACGAGCGACGAAGTAGTTGCTGCCAACAACTTGTGGCAAAATTGAGGTGGTACCTGCGCTCCATTCCCCCCTGATGTCGGTCACAAATGCGATCTCTGGCCTTACAGTGGTGGGTGGCATCTTGATGATGGGCGGAAGCAAGTTGGTTGCATCTTCCAGCTCAGCAAAGACAGACAATAGAAGTGGCAGAGGCAGTTTAATCATCAAGGCATGATATGCAAGCGCCGGAGACTATCGGCTAACTTTCAGCAACCTACTATTCTTATTACTAATACGATTTTTCATGTTCTTCTTATTGGTATTATTGCTCTTATTCTTACTTTTATCACTAGTATTACTACTATTACGATTATTGCTGTTATTATTCTTATCAGTATTATTTTCATTATTATTGTTGTTTCTTTTGATTTTCAACACAAGCTCAGGCTACATGCCCGAGACTTTGCCCCAGTGGCTGGCAGCCGCTGCAGCCTTGATCTCCATGGTCAACGTAGGCCCTCAACCAATTGCTTCACCCACTCCAAAGGGACTCTTTTATTGCGAATATTACTATTATTCGTAATACTGTTATTACTAATATCTCATTACTATTCCTATTAATATTATTGCTATCATACCATTACTACTAGTAATACTGCCATGATTATGAATACTATTGTCTTATCCTGTGCTTATGTGGTGCCATCGCGCCTCAGCAAAGCTTGTGGCCGGCAGGCGGCGGTTTCGTCATGACCAGGCGCATGATCGACATGTTCAAGAGAGAGACGGATGCTGCTCGATGCAATTTTGTTTGGGGTTATATTGGGATAATGGAAAATAAAATGGAAATTACTATTTGGGGTTTAGGTTTTAGGGTTTAGGGAAGATCCTCAGGAGTGGAAACAGTCAGCCACCTTTGGGATCTTCGCTTGCCCGCCTTTATCTTCAATCCATGTCCTCTGAATTCGACAGCAGTCTGTACTGGTTGCTAGTGTTCTCCTTCCGTGAATCATGGGCACCACGTCAAATCAGGTTTTTAAGCCCATGCCTAAATTCCCCAACACCCCACCTAGGATTTGCCAGAACGTCCTCTGACGATCATAGGGTGAGGTTTCTGCTTGTATCTCCTCCCGGAAAACAGGATACGTTCTTGAGGCTTGGGATAGGCTTCAGAGCTTCATACAGAGAAGGAGTGCAAGCTCTTTTTTTTTTCTTCGCTGATGCCGCACGCAGGTGTGTGTGTTTAGTCACTTGCCGAAAGCCATCAAGTTTCCTTGGAGCCACGTAATGCTGTTGCAGAATTGGTGCCCAAGGTCTCCCAGTTTCCGGAGATGTACGCCCTTCCTGCTGCGCTCTTCGTGGGACTGTACGCTGTTGGCACCTCCCTGGGCTACATGGACTTAGCCTCTGATGCTTATCCTGGCACAAGATCGCTGATCAGGGTATTACATTGAAGTGTTGTTTAGTGTCGGGCCCGTAGAACAATGTGTATTTGCAACAGTTTTAGGGGACCCCGCATACTTCCATTTCAGAGTCTGCGACGGCACACCATCCAATCCAGAGCCTTTCTGTTGATTTTATGTAGGGAGCTGGAACCCCAACTGCAGCCCGACCCAACCCCCAAGTCGCCGTGCACATACAGGCCTATGTGGGGACAGTAGGATGCTGGTGCCAGTATCAGTCAGTCCATTCGGCTTTGTTACCTGTAGGTCTGTAGGTCCTCGGCTTCAGAGTTCTGACCTGACACGAGGAATCCCAGATGGTCTACCTCATCTCATCCCTCATGTGCATTGGAGCGATTGGGGGTCTCAGCTCCCAAGAGACAGCTTCTCTCCTGCAAAGAGTTAAGCCAGCTGCGGGGTCCTCCTATCTCACATCGGGTTCCACACGGAACAAGAAGGCACCGCAAGGATGTTGGGGGCTCGATATTCCTCATAAATCGCGACAGCGAGGACGCAGAACTCCTTCTCAATTTGCAGTAGTGCGAGGAGTCTTGCGCCTTGTGTCATGTTCGAGTACTGCTTCTGAGAGTCCACATGAGCATGCCTCACATCAGCGTTGATTCAAGGTTTGCCTTCAGATGAAGCCTTGCCAAACCCAACTCCCGCAGCTCATAGCTCAGAAGTCATCAACCTACTCCCATGTATCCTCCAAGCATTGAGCGTTTAATTCGAAGGACATTGAACCTTTATCATGCAAGGCCAACCCCAAACACCCGAACTACCATGCCAAGGAGCACAGATCCTAAAGCAAACCCTGAGGTTCAGGGTTCACAGATGCTTGAGGGATTGCCACCCCCGCCCCCAAGGTGCACGTTGAGGTCTCATGGAGGAAGCTGAAGAAGTCTTAGCGTTGGAGAAATAATTCTGATCTGCGACCGTGAGTGAGGACCTCCCAGGTCCCAATAGACCGCACAAACACAACATACGAAACGAGGGAGTTGAGAATGCAATGGAAACCACATTCTAGTATAGTAGTTGCAATTTGCTGTTCCAGTCCCTTATATAAGCACTGAGGGTTCAATAGGGCGGGGCTACAGTCGAAGGTCAGGGGGAGGAGAGTGTCTCCTTTGACCATTCAGACCGGCCCTTGTAGAGGTCAAAAACCTCAAATGCATGTGAGCTAACTATAGTCTGAACTCCTTACAGAGGGTTATAGGAGATTATATAGCGGGCTGCTATGGGGGATATTAAGGGGGATACTAGGAGTTTGGACTATAGCTCATGTAGTCCCAAGTTCCATTTGATTTCCCATTTTCTCTTCCATATTGCACATTATTCTCCATAACTCCTATGTCAGACTTAAATAAGGCACGTTCAAATCCTTTTGCTATGAAGCTCCATCACCGACTGGGTGTGCCTTACTCATATGTGGGCCCCTAAATGCTACGTATAATATCTAAGCCTCTAAACACTATAATCGATAAGTCCCTAAATATCACTAAAATACCTAAGCCCCTAAATACTATAATGCACACCCCTTTAAATCTATATATATATATACATACATACATACACACCTCTGAATACTGTAATATGTAAGCCTTTAAATGCTGTGTCACATATAAGCCCCTAAATCCTACAACATATGAACCTCTAAATGCCATTTCCTATAACGCCCCTACATCCTTATATATATATATGTATAGAATATCCCCAAAATGCTATAGGTTCAAATCCTGGTTTGCATTAAGGCCCAATTTGGCAACGCCATGGGATTGAGCGGCGTGGTGGGCGCACTGGCGGGAACCCTTGGCCTGGCCTACGCTCAGGCAAGCAGGGTTCAGGCTTTAGGGTTTAAGATTAACTCTCAACCCTGAACCTGTGGTGTTTAGGAGTTTAGGGTTAACCCGAAACCTTAAATGCCACAAAAAGGGCATTAAAACAAGACGTTTGGGTTTAGGGTTGATTTTTCAACACAACGGGGAGTCAGATTGGGGTGCTTCTAAAGGTCCTTGTAAAGAAAGCACCCTGGGATTGGGGAAAGGGAGACGTCAACTAAACACGGATTCGACCTTGTGGCCGTTCTGGGAAGGTATTCTGAACAACTACCAGATGGGAAAGTACATGGAAACCATAGGGGTTCTCTAAAGTGGATTGCGTAGGGGAATAAAACCGAACAATGGAGAATCCAATGGACAGGAGCATGGAAAATGACATGGAAACAGTGATTACGTGTAGGGTTTAGGTGTACATGGATATGGGATTTCAATTCTTTTCGGCTGCAGAGAGGGCAGTGATGATTGTCGGCAGTATGCCGTGGTTGTATGCAAGAACAGGGCTTGACCTCCTTTTGATATGGTGGTTTCGGGTTGAAGCTTTTGCGAATGGGAGGGGTCAGGGGATCTTTGTTCCAGTTGCGAGACACTTGGCAAGATCCCTCAAAAAGAAGCCTCGGCGTGTCCAACCAATCCTATTCTCGCCAGGGAGCGAGTGCGGCTGTGCTCACGCAGATTGCAGCTCAAGCAGCAAAGAGTCATTCGCAAAGGGTTCTGAATCCAGTTGTTTGAGCAACTTTGTCCAGACCTGCATCCTCATAGGTGAGAGTCTCGAAGGGTCGGTATCTCTGCAAAATGCAATGGGCACTTGGATGTTTGCATCCAACTACAAGATCGACCTAGACACCCCATGCCTTGAGCATATTTCAACACTTGAAAGGACCGGGGGCTGGCGGGTCCTCAGGCCTTGAGATGCTTTTGAGTTCCCTCTACATTCGGGAGCTCTCTGCAGATAGGGCGATCTCCAAGAAGTGGGGTGCTCCTCATTACATGTCCAGTTTTCGGAGAATCCCATATGTGTGGCGCGGCATTGCCTCTGAGGCCACAGTCCTCTCAACCGGCACTGCCCTGGGCATGGCCGTTGCATCCCAGGCCTATTTCTGTGCCAGGAATGACCTAAGAGCAAACTTCTGAATGACCCTCAGTCCAGTAGACTACCATGACGCTTCGGCGGTTGAGGTACACAGGGTCGCTCATGCATTGATCGTACGACCCGGGGCTGACGATGCTGTTTGCATGCAGCTCAAAGAGCTGCGCGGGCGGTTGTTGCTTCGACGTGTGTCCTCTTGTCAACAGGATAGCCCTTTTTCGTTCCAAGTGCCATACGACTCAGTTTGATGATTCGATATGGTTTTTGGGAACCCCCTCGAAATTCAACTAGCCAAACAGGTGGAGATCACATCCCTTCCGCAGCTGGTGGCTGCCTTCCACTCCCTTGTGGGTTGGGGCCTTGGTATTGCCCTTGCCTGACGTGTCAAACGCTGTGATGCTGGAATGCATGTGTGCGGGTTTCCCTCACACCCAATCTGGATGATAATTGCAAACCCCTCCGCTTGATGCTTGAAGTCGATATCCATGCTACCTTGCGAAGCCGCAGTGTTCTTTGGGAATCCATACCGGGCCCAGGTATGGCTGCGTCGTTGACAGCTGTAGCCTCAGCCCTGCAGCATCCAGGAGCAGATGCTATGTACCTTGACCGGATCTGCAGGTTAACATCGGGTCCGTATGTGACGTGGATTCCATTGTTGCTATAGGCTTTAGAGATTTCTGGCTTTTGTAGTTCGAGGGATTGGGGGTTGATAGCTACAGGGCTGGCTTTATATCGGTACAGGTGGCTGCGCATTCAGAAGTGGGCCAGATACGGTGCATTGACCTTGCTGTGCTTTGCTCGTGTCATGTCTTTTACTGCTTGCAAGATCAGAGCCTCTGCTCTCAGCCGCATGCCCGTTTTATGAGCAATAGGGCTGTTGTCACCATTCAAGCCTTGCCCTTCTGCCTGAACAATGCGCCTTTGGTGGATGGTCCTGAACATATGCTGTTCCTCAGGCACGCCACATCTGAGTACTTGGCCAGTGGCATCGGTGCACTGACCGCGGCCTTCGCTGCACATGAGATGGTTCGTGATCTAGCATCCAACCCGGAGGGTGCGCGGGCCAGAAAGGATCCTCCACAATAAGCTTGCTGTCTGAGTAGATGCACTATGTTGCCTTGTCTAGTTTTCCTGGTGCTTTCTTGAGGGGGTGTGTAGGGGACCAGTGATGAGTCGCAACTCTATCAGCTGTGCCGCCTGAGGTAACTGGTTCCATGGTAGCCTTCGCCAAGCTGCAGGGTCTGGTGGGCGGCAATGCCAGCATCCCGGGCGGCAACGTGCCTTTGACTTCCAATCTATGACGGCACAGAATGTAAACATTGGTTCCAACGAGTGCCCCAGTGACAGCTAGTCCGAATATTGAGGGGTGCAGGCTGTTGCCTTACTGCGAGCCACCCAGAGAGAGGAGGAGTAGCACGCAAGACGAATGACCTAGAAGAGTGTTGGGTTCCTTTTCTTTTGGCCAGGTGCTATCAGGATCGTTGACGGCGGCCTTTGCAGGAGGCAGCAACCAGCTCACTTACATGCCCAAAGTTGAGATTTCAGGTGAACTATTGATTCCCCAATTCTTAGCAGCGAACAATGCCAAACGATCCAGTATGGCCTCAGACTCATCGAGAAGATCTGGACTTGCACACTTCTGCAAAGCTAGGTTTTTCAACCCTGAAACTGCTACGCACTCCCCCTCCCCAAGCCGGAATGCCACTAAGCCCTTATGCCTCAAACCCTCAGGGCTCTGGGCCTATCTCCAGCACCCGATGCCTGGCATGGAGATCCCCACACTGGTCTGTGGCACACTGGCAGCAGCTGGCATGGGCCTGGTGGTGACCTCGCAGGCTTGATTGAGGGTTTCAGGCAAAGCCTGGGCACAAAACTCAGGACCTCCTTGCGGTGTGCCTGTGATGGGGATCTTGGTGTGTTTGGTGGGTAGATTTAGATACTGCAAAGCAGTTTTATGAGGCTCCTACATGTTGCTAAGCAGATGCAAGAATGACACAAGGGTCAGTCCCTCACTGCATGCAGACGCAGCGCTGTGGAGAGTAAGTTGAGTCGAGTGGAGGAAGTGGAAAAACACGCCAGCTGCTAGAATACTGGCAGGAGTTGTGATTGTTCTCTGCATTTCATGAGTACAAGGACCGATAAAGAGGATGGGTTTTTGCTCCTGCAAGCAGAGTCTGATTACTAGTTGTCTCGCAGGTGGGTGGTGCAGACATGCCAGTTGCCATCACCTTGCTGAACAGTGCATCTGGTTGGGCCCTGACTGCGGAGGGCTTTGTGCTCTCCAACAATCTGCAACCTTCACGCAAGCAAGTGAATATGGGTTCTTGTTTCTTCGCAAGACGGCCTAAGTTTTGCGAGCTGATTGGGCAGCTTACCCAGTTCTGCTGGCATGAGATCGAGGAATCATCGAATCCAATGCCATGAGCAAGGGCTCTCTTGTCGTTTCAAGCCTGGAGCCTGAATGATCCAAGGCTGACCATTGTTGGAGCCTTGATTGGCTCTTCTGGCGCCATTCTGAGTCAGATCATGTGCGAGGTGGGGTGGCTTTAGTTGAGAGCCGCAGTGGACCCTGGTGCTTCTGTGCATCTGCGCCATGCATCCTCCCTGCAGGCAATGAATCGCAACATCTTGGAAGTGCTGGGCGTGACAGCCAAGCCTCAGAAGCAGGGCGCCTCCTCCTATCAGATGCTCGACCTGCTGGCCTGTCCGAAGCAATCAGCTTATCCTTATGAGTTTTACACTTCAACTACGTAATGTTTGCCTCTGGCAGCCGAGTTTCAGAGACGGTCTGGGGCACCAAGCTTTTTGGCTTGAAGGGAAGGGATGTCAATGTGTCGAGGGGCATGGAGTGTTTCTCATGGCATCAAAGCCTCCAGTTGTGCCTGCCGTTTTTTACTTCGTGATTTCCCCCGATCTGCAAGCAGTTCGTTAGGCAGGATTGCGGCATGAGACATCAAAACCCCCTCCGCCAGCCTTGCCTGAGGATCGAGGGCGAAGTCACAACCACCAACAACGATCACGTCGCAGACCTTTTGGCAACTGCCAAAAAGGCCTTCAAGCCGTGCTGCGGCTTCTATAGGGGTATGCCCATGCAAGGATACAAGTACAAAGGTTGACCTGAGATTAAGACAGGCTGTCCAGGCAAAGGGCTGCGGCACCGAATGATAGCCGAAGCTTGAGCAGCTTACTTACCCCTTTTCCGCAAGTCAAGTGCAGTGCAGTGTAGATGTTGGGGGAGTAAAACGTGGAGATGTGTGCCCTGGAACGCCATGACTCCTTGTCAGGTTGTCATCGTTCCCGGCTATGGCGTTGCTGTGTCCAAGGCCAGGGTGCCCCCAGCCTTGCAATGAATCCTCAACTTTGCAGCGCAGGCGCAGTATGCCCTGGCGCAGCTCATTGAGATGCTTACGGAGCCAGAGCCTCAGGAGAAAGCTCTCAAAGGCAAAGGCCTCAATTTCAGACTTTCAATCTAAGCTTCAATCTGGGCTTAAGCATGCTGAAGTGCCATGGGGACTTTGGGAGCTGAGGAACGGTACGGACGTGAAAGTAGCCATCCACCCTGTAGCGGGACGCATGCCTGGACAGCTGAACGTGCTGCTGGCAGAGGCAGGAGTCCCCTACAACCAGGCCGGGTAGGACTTCATAATTGTCTGACAGAAGTTAGAGGTTGGGGGCTGGATTCCCTGCCTTGAAGGTCCTGGAGATGGAGGAACTGAATGACCCATCCGACTGGGCAGACGTCGACGTGTCACTGGTCGTGGGCGCTAATGATACAGCATCTTGCGGGCAAAATTGCGGGCATGCCACGCTCCGTGTAGGTGTAAGCTCAATCTTTGCAACACTTCTGCGAAGAAAGCTTGCAGGGTACAAATGTTTTAATCCCACAAGGCCTTGGCAGCTTTGATGATCATGCGTGGTGTAGAGGAGAGCATGTTGGCGGATAAGGTCAATTCATTGGCGGAAGACGATCCCAACAGTCCGATTGCAGGAATGCCTGTGATCCGACACTTGGCTGGTCTGTTGGTCAAAGGCTTCTGACACCGAGCAAGAAGATCGGCACATATGCAATCAACTGGAAAGGAGCTATTGAAAAGTTTGTGGCGTTCATAGCACTACTACCACTTAATTTTCAAAAGGTTAGTGCTGGAGTAGCAGGAGCCTCTGATTCCCAGGCGTCTGGCTTGCAAAGAAGTGCATAGTCGTCAAGCGCTCCTTGGGCGTGGGCTACGCAGCCCTGGACAATCCGGTGTTTTACAAGGACTAGGGCTTCTTGGTACGTACAGCTGAGCGGTATGGAAGTTTCAAAATCACCCCTCACATGAAGTTGAAAATGAAAGAGACTCCGGCAAGCCCCAAAAATTCGTTATGTCGCAGGACCACACCGACATGCTCCTAGGTGACGCCAAGGAGGTAGGACAGTCGCTGGAAGAGCTCGTGCACACCAAGTTGCACAGGCATCATTAGCTCTGATGGCAACGGAAGTTGTTAAGCATGTTTCTAGAGCTTGAGCGTTTCGTTTGAATAATTGATTCAGGCTGATGGGTAGCTGTAATTCCTCATGGTACATGTTCCAACGCACGTTCACTCATCAGCCACCTTCGTGGCGGCAAGAGAACGCCCGACTTCTTTGTTTACTCGCTTGCAACGTCAAGCAATGCTTGTCGGCAAGTTATTCATAATACTTGCAGGGCGCTTGAACGCAGACGAATTAACTCAAGGGCCCGCATCACCTCATGTTGAGGCTGCTAGGGCTACTGCATTCTTAACATTGTTGTTGCCGCATCAAATGGTTGTTTTCAAGGACATGGCTCCAGCGTAGTGTTTTAGAACCCTGCTATCTTGCGAGCTTGCAAGGCAGAACAGATGCCCTGCATGGCCCCAAGTCTTTAAGTTACTTTTTCAAGTGCACTGGCAGAGGCATTGAGCGACAGGTCCAGCACCAGGTTCGCAGATCTTTGCTGGTGCAGGTTCCAAGCACCCAGCCACCTGGATGATTTTATCCCTTTGGAAATAAGCTGGGCCCAGCTGACGTGAAATGGTTGCTTCTCCAGGTGACTGTGCTCCACTCAGGTTACTGAGGCAGGGCCCATTTGTTAAATTTCTGGCCCAAGCTCAACTCGACCCAGGGGTGACCAGGCAATGCGCGTTTCGGGGCAGATTTGCTGCACGGGCTGACGAAGAGAAAGTGCGTGGGTGCCTTGTGCAGGGTGAGCAATGTTGATTTGTGTCGCTGGGGGTCCTGCGACCGCGGGCACGTCCCACAAATCAACATGGGCCTGGGAAAGACTTTCAATCACCAGGCACCTAAGCCCAAATTCCAAACCCTTTTTTGTGGCAGACTGCCAGGAACTGCAGATTGCCGGTAAGCACGTTACGCAGTTCGTGCATGACATGTTGCCTGGCTCAGCTTATGTGAGCCATGCTGGATTTTTAAAGTATGATCGGACATCATGCTGGAATCTCAAAGGGGTCTCACTCGGGTGGAGCGACTCTTTACTGAGGATCTGCGACAGAGGAGAGCACTGGCGCTCAGCATCAGCAAGCTGTGGTTTTCCACGTCCTCTTGTTGGTCTCACAGTCCTTCTCGGCTGGAAGTTCCCAGGCCTGTGCCGGCAGAGCAGCGTATGGACGCGGCCAGGCAGATCAAGGACTGCAGCTTGCAAGAGAAGCCTGCAGAGGTGGAGTGCCTAACCCTTGCAGTTGACGGCCTTCCTGGCATGAGATATCAATAGCTTTTTAATGGCCGGCACCGTGCGGCAGAGTTTGCGCTTTGCGCTGACTCAAATTTGAAGCTGGCACCGACACGCCCTTGTTTGGCTGTCCTCTAAAGAGCTGCGTTGGCATGTTTCCGAGTGCAGGAGAAGCACGCCTACCTGTGCAAAGACGTGGCGCCCTGGGCTCCATTGCAGCAGTAGCCTGTGGTATTCTGGGTTGCTGTTAAGGA